GAGTCTGAAGTCCAGTGGAGAAGGTTAGTCTGCACCTGAACCTGAACCCCAACGTTCAGAACCATTAAAAACCATAGTTAGATAAACACGATGTTCTGATGTCCCCGGTGTAAAAACACAGACAAAGCTCAAACCACGATGTCAATCAAACGGTGTGACAGAGCTACACTGGATAAACCATGAGAAACACATGAGAATACAACGAGGATCAGTCAGTTATAGAAGATGTGATGGAATCAGCACTAGACACGTGACAAGATTGGAATTCAATTCGACTGGCTTGACTGTTACACTTCAACTCTTGCAGCAGATGTCGCTCTAAGCACTGAATGAAGTTTCGAAAAGTGAACCTTTGAGTCGACGACGGGCTGTGCGGTAGTTATAGTGAATTATACAGTGAACTGTTGAAGATCACATTCGTTACATCAACACGACCACGTGAGCTCCACGTGTGTTTCCATGTTGTGTTCTAAAAGTTGATCAAAATAAAACTGGAGGCAGCACTGGTCCCCTGCTTGTCTCCTGTGCAGAGGACGGGAGCTGAAGTTCTCGCGGGACAAAACACGCGAGATTCTCGTGGTTTCTGACATAGTGCAGGAAGGGCGTCGGTCAGAGAGGCGGTTCTGGGACAGAGGAGCCGACCATCAGTCAGGCATGTCGTCCTGTGTCCGCAGGGACTTCTGTCTGGACACTGGTGACTTCTTATAGCAGCGACGTAAAGCGTTTAGTTGTCGAATAGACAAAGAAAAGAAAAAATAAAAGATGATTTTCTGGACGTTCTCTCCGCTCCTTCAGCTGCTGCTTCTATCACAGATTGAAGTTCGAGCTCAAGAGGAAAGTAAGTTGGAACTGTTGTAAATGTGTGCACTCTAACTGCAACAAACTGTGTTTTTATATATTAAAGTCTTAACAGTAGGTGTTAGAGAAGTGGTCGGTGTTAAAAACGGATGTATTATCGTTTAATGATCTTTGAAAATCACAGTAAAAGTCACTTTTGTTCCATACAATATTATTATATGGATACAGTCGGACCCACGGCGGGAAAAGGAGTTCCAGTTTCACTGTTCTGTTCAACAACACGACCGTTGAGTTTAATCTGTTGTTCAGTAAATCATAACGTCAACAGTCGCATTCATACGTCAGATAAATGAAATAATCAGAATAAAATAAAAATAAAAACAGTGATGCCATGTTTGTGGAGTAATATCAGTGCAGCAGAGCGACACCGTGTGGACTGATTCACCCAGCTTCCACATTTAAAGCAGAAGTTCTGCTCGATATTTGGTCATATTGTCTGCTGTTCCTCTTTACTGACACGACGAGTGTTTATTTGTCAGAAGAATAAAGGTTTTAGAACAGGTTAAAATAACGAGGTCGATTGTCTTGATCGTGTTCACACGGTTCACACGGTTGTATTTGTACCGCACGGTTCGGTTCTAATACACGTGTTGTTCAGCCGTAATGAACATGTGTTTATATATTTATACTTCACTGTAATATATCACATCATATTAGGGAAAGTATTAAATTAAAATATTACAGATTAAAAATATGAAGTACATTAAAGTAATCTCATGCAATTTAAGTATTCATTATATGTATATATATATATATTTATAAAAAAAGTATTCATTATATGTATATATATATATTTATGAAAACCAAAACATTTATAAAAATATATTATTAATATCATGACATTGTACATGTAGCCAATTAATCCATTCTCTATCTACTAATTGTTGTTTTTTAATTAAATTTCAGAGACTGCTTTTTTACTACTGCAGTCTCCTCTCTTCTACAGACAGGGTGGTCTTTCTGCCCGGGACCTTTCAGAACGTCAGTGTACCCCAAAATGAGACGGTGCAGGTGGTGGTGTCCAGGATTTCTCCAAACGTCACGTTCGTGACTCTTCAGTTTCACACACAGCGACACAACGTCACCCTGTCGTACAACAGGGTGAGAATTAACTCTTTGTTCTCTTAATGAACTGATCCGTTCCACTGCATCAACTCAATAGGATTTCAGTCTGAAGAACCATTCAGTGTTTATGTCATCACATGACTTAGTCAAGAGTTAGTCTGACTGGGGTCAGTTTGAGAAGAAAGAAAAACAAGAACATTTTAACCTTTGACTTCTTCATATATTCACTATGATGACTTCATATATTGACTGTATTGACTTCATATATTGATTGTATTGACTTCATATATTGATTGTATTGACTTCATATATCGATTGTATTGACTTCATATATCGATTGTATTGACTTCATATATTGACTATATTGACTTCATATATTCACTATGATGACTTCATATATTGACTGTATTGACTTCATATATTGACTGTATTGACTTCATATATTGACTATATTGACTTCATATATTCACTATGATGACTTCATATATTCACTATGATGACTTCATATATTCACTATGATGACTTCATATATTCACTATGATGACTTCATATATTGACTGTATTGACTTCATATATCGATTGTATTGACGTCATATATTGACAATATTGACTTCATATATTGACTGTATTGACTTCATATATCGATTGTATTGACTTCATATATTCACTATGACGACTTCATATATTCACTATATTGACTTCATATATTCACTATGATGACTTCATATATTCACTATGATGACTTCATATATTCACTATGATGACTTCATATATTCACTATGATGACTTCATATATTCACTATGATGACTTCATATATTGACTGTATTGACTTCATATATCGATTGTATTGACTTCATATATTGACTGTATTGACTTCATATATTGACTGTATTGACTTCATATATTGACTGTATTGACTTTTTGAGGCCTGGATCATTTTTCCATTAAAGTTAAAGTCAAACTGTGGAGACAGTTGTAAGTCAACAGTAGAGTTAGAGTGTCCTAACTGTGGTCCACACCGTGTGGTCCACACCGTGTGGTCCACACCATGTGTGGACATGATAAAAGTTGAAGTTGTGTTGTTTTCAGTGTCACTAAGAGAATGTCTCGTACCATGAAGAGGGAGTTTAGATTTAGTTCAGATTAATGAGAGGGTCTCGTGAGTGAGATGGTCTGACCCTCAGAGTTACTGGGAGTCAGCTGATCTATGGTCATGTGGTCAGCTGACCCCAGGGAGTCCTACAGTCTGGTCCAGGTCAGACCTGCTGGTCAATTTTTAACCAACTCACCCTCCATCGTTACAGCCGGACTGAACAGTCAAACTGGTCTTTCAGTCCTGGCTCCTTGTCCGGTTGTATTTAGACTGTAGCTACAGCGGTTGTCGGCTGTTGCCTCCCGCCCTACACTGGTCCTTGGTAACAACAACAGTCATTGTGTGAACAGTATAATCCAGACTCTGTTCCAGATCTACAGGCTGTGACTGGACTTTATTTTCAGCTTGTTCTGTGTTCTGACGCTGTAGTCTACTGACACACACACACACACACACACATACACACACACACACACATACACACACACACACACACACACGCACACACACACAATGCAGAGTATTTTTCACTGCCTTTTACTTTTGCTCTGTTCTCAACATAAACCTCATTCTTCTAGTTTGATGTCCGACAAATGTCCGTCTTCCAGACCAACTGTTCCGTCCAGTCAAGGTGATCGACACGTGGACCTGATCTTTTTATTCTAATTCATTTTCCAGGGTCACTTCACAGAACGGTCCGTCCTAAAGTACCGTGCTGACCTTGAGGTCACACATTCCCTGCAGATTAGCCTGTAAATGACAGAGTCAGAGGACTGTGGACTGTGGACTGTGGACTGTGGACTGTGGACTGTGGACTGTGGACTGTGGACTGCAGTCCAGTCCAGACCTACTCCTGGTCTGGGACTCACTGGGTTCCTGGTGCCTGTTAATAACTGTGTTTGTTCCTGGTCTCAGGTACCAGGTGTCGGTCTCTTCATGACGGCCCAGGACTCAGGTCTCCTCTCAGCCCTGCAGCCAGGACAGACCTCCGTCTCCTTGTTCCTGTCCTCCCCTGACAGTAAGACGGTGACGGGGATTGGACTCATCCTGCCCTTCTCCACCACAGGTAGGTGTCGCTCATGTCAACACCAGCCACCATTAGACAGACGAGTCACAGGTGGAGAATTACTGCTCTGTTTTACTGCTGATGAAGGGACAGTGGGGGGGGGGGGGGGGGGGGGTCACCCGGCCCCCCAGTGCCATCTTGGATCTCGGCCCATGACTGTGTTGACTGTGATGATTGTGATGACTGTGATGATTGTGATGACTGGTGTTGACTGTTGTTATCTGGTGTTGACTGGTGATGACTGGTGATGACTGGTGTTGACTGTTGTTATCTGGTGTTGACTGGTGATGACTGGTGATGACTGGTGTTGACTGTTGTTAGCTGGTGTTGACTGGTGATGACTGGTGATGACTGGTGTTGACTGTTGTTAACTGGTGTTGACTGTGATGACTGTGATGATTGTGATGACTGTGATGACTGGTGATGATTGTGATGACTGGTGTTGACTGTTGTTATCTGGTGTTGACTGGTGATGACTGGTGATGACTGGTGTTGACTGTTGTTAACTGGTGTTGACTGGTGATGACTGGTGATGACTGGTGTTGACTGTTGTTAACTGTTGTTGACTGGTGTTGACTGGTGATGACTGGTGATGACTGGTGTTGACTGTTGTTAGCTGGTGTTGACTGGTGATGACTGGTGATGACTGGTGTTGACTGTTGTTAACTGGTGTTGACTGGTGATGACTGGTGATGACTGGTGTTGACTGTTGTTAACTGGTGTTGACTGGGGTTGACTGGTGTTGACTGTTGTTGACTGGTGTTGACTGGTG